TAATCTAAGCTTACCCCGTCCCCTAACACTTCTATCTACCATTACAGTATCGCATCTCTTCACTATTGCCTCTATTGGTCTCCGTTGAATATGGCCAAACCATCTCAATCAATTCTCTCTCAGTTTATCTTCTATCGGTGCTACTCCTACCCATTTCCGAATACACTCAATCTTAATTCTATCTTGTCTATTCTTGCCACATATCCACCTTAGCATTCTCATCTTAACCACACTCATCTTATCTACATGTTGTTTCTTGGTTGCCCAACACTCCGTCCCATACAACATCGCTAGTCTAATAGCCGTTCTATAGAACTTATCTTTAAGTCTAGTGAGTATTCGTCTATCGCACAATACCCCAGACGCACTTTTCCACTTACACCATCACGCCTTAATCCTATGGGCCACATCCACATCAATCTTTCCCACTGTTGTGATAATCTACCCTAAATAACGAAAATGTTCACTCTTAGGCAGTTCTTGGTTCTCAATCTTCCTCTGTTTTCATTGTTACTGTTACTAAATTTACACTCTGTGTACTTTGTCTTAGTTCTGCTTATCCGGAATCCTTTAGATTCAAGAGCTTTTCTCCAAATTTCTAACTTTGTATTAACTCCTTCTCTAATCTCATCCACTAGTACTATATCGTCTGCAAAAACCATACACCATGGCACGTCATCCTAGATATTTCTCGTCAACTCATCTATAACTAAAGCAAAAAGATAAGGACTTAAGGTAGATCCTTGGTGTAACCCTACGATAATAGGAAATTCATTTGTCTCTCCATTAGGCGATCTAATAGTGATCACCACCCCTTCATACATGTCTATAATCACATCAATGTAATCTTTTGTCATCCCTTTCTTCGCTAACACTCACCATATTATATCCTAGTGCACTCTATCATATACTTTCTCAAGGTCGATAAACACCATATGAATGTCTCTTTTTTTTTCTCTGTACTTTTCTATTACTTTCCTCAAAAGATAGATCGCTTCCATTGTTGACCTACCGGGCATAAACCCAAATTGATTCTCTGACACCTCTGTTATATCTCACAATCGGCGTTCTATCACCCTCTCCCACACTTTCATTATATGACACATTAGTTTGATTCCTCTATAGTTGTTGTAATTCTGGACATCTCCTTTATTTTTATAGATTGGTATTAAAATACTCTTCCTCCACTCATTTGGTATGTTCTTAGTCAACAAAATTTTGCTAAACAACCTAGTCAACCAAGCAACCCCCTTTTTACCCAAACATTTCCAAGCTTCAATAGGGATATCATTTGGTCCTAAAGCCTTATTTGATTTCATCTTCTTAAGTGCAATCTCCACTTCAAAGTTCCTAATCCTACGATAGAACCTATAGTCTTGGTTTATCGTATTACTGGCTATTTCTTCCCCTATTGTTGCACCTTCATGTTCCTCATTTAATAGTTTCTCGAAATAGTTCTTCCATCTTTCCTTAATCTCTTCATCCCTCACCAATACCTTAGAACCCTCACTCTTGATGCACTTTACTTGATTAAAATCTCTTGTTTTCCTCTCCCGTATCTTAGCAAGTTTGTATACCCTCTTCTCTCTCTCCTTACTATCTAGTCTAGTGTATAGGTCATCATAAGCTTTCAACTTAGCCTCTCTCACTACTTTCTTCACCTCCTTATTAGCCAATCTACAGCTCTTAAGGTTTTTCTCAGTTTTATCCTTTTGCCACTTTTTAAAGCACTCTTTTTTTGCCTTAACTACCGCTTGAACCTCTTCCCTCCACCACCAAGTTTCCCTAGAGCTAGGTCCTGTTCTTTTCGACTCTCCAAGCACTTCCCTTGAGATTCTCCTCATACAATTGGCCATCAAGTTCCACATAGTATTAGCATCATCTTCTAAGTCCCAAGTACCTTACTTATCCATTCTATTCTTAAATATTTCTAATTTATCCCCTTTTAGGTCCTACCATCTCGTCCTACAATGCCCACCATCCTTCCTAGCTTGGTATTACCCTCTAAAACATAAATCTAGTACCAAAATCGTATGTTAAGAGGTCAGGCTCTCTCCAAGAATCACCTTACAATCATTGCATTTTAGGCAGTCCACTTTTCTCACTAAGAAGTAATCTATTTGGCTCTTAACTGACCCACTCTTAAAGGTTATCAAATGCTCCTCCCTCTTCTTAAACATAGTATTGGCCACCACCAGGTCAGAAGCCAACGCAAAATCTAAGATACTCTCTCCAGCCTTATTTCTGTTATCAAAATCGTATCCACCATGCACCCTTTTATAGCCTAGTTTATCTATGCCTATATGGCTATTAAACTCTCTGTTAGGTTTTTATTCTTGGCAATCCTGTTTGACAAAACTCCTTTAAGTTGTATTTGTTTTCGCACTTTTTATCTCAGTGAGGCTATGAGTGTTTAGATGCGAATCCAATCCGAATTGTGCCTTGCAGAGAAGTTTTGTGATGTTAATTCTTTCAACATTGCCACTTCGCTGATTATGAT